GAGAAACAGAGAGAGAGAGAGAGAGAGAGAGAGAGAGAGAGAGAGAGAGAGAGAGAGAGAGAGAAGCGTGTGTGCGTGTATTCTATTAAGGTAACTAGAGAGACGTTCCACTTTTCCCGGGACACTCCCGATTTTTTATCCTTTGTCCTGCATTTCTTCGAGTGCCGGAACGCCAATTTGTCCTGAACTCGGCCAAACACTATCTCGGCTTATCTTAGCTTAGAGAATTTTTTAAATGTTCCTGACAAAAAAAGAAATTTCCTTCTCAAGAAATTTCATGGCTCTGATAAATACAATAATTCGAATACCCGACTCGAAATTTTAATCCTACATTCAGCAAAAAAAGTATTCGACGTTTACTTTGACACTTTGAAGCCTATATCGACTTCTTTTGATTTGATTTAACCTATTCTGCTAAGAAGTTCTCTTTAGAACTTACGAGTGATATTTTGTGCGTTTCTGCCGTATAAAGCATTAAGTGGAACTTCAGTATATTTGCACGTGTATTAAACATACACAGGTCGTTCAGCATATACAAATATTCGAAAGTTCAAGTTGAAAGTAAGTCTAAGATTTCGACTCGGGGGAAATATGAAAGGAAAATAAAATGATGTCAAAGATATACGCGATGCTAAATCTCGACCAATAGTATCTATTAGCAAGAGGCTTTCGCGAATGTCTTATCATTTGACAGATGATTTGATGGTTACAAAAATTTTTCATTAGCCGTACTTATTTCTAGGTACGCCTTTCTCATGTAGCAGCCATATTCAGTCAACGCCTGACAGTTCTGAGCGCTTTCGCGACGGCACAAAAATTAATCGTGTAATATCATATTATATTTGTACGCGTTCACACGACATTCAGAAAACGAAGATTGCCGCTTCAAGAAAGAGAAACGAGGAAGATATCGTTTCCAATCTGTCGATGATAAGGCATCTGTGAGATATTGAGTGTGAATTGTTATGTAACAGGTATGCAAGGAACTTTATTTCTTATCATAAGCGTAAATTCCGGTTACTATTGTGCACGGTGCACCCGAGTTAACACTGAAGTATCTCGCGAGATTGAAAAGAAGATGGTTATTTCGTGAAGGAGAATCTATTATTTCGTGGTGAAATTTGAATAATGTGAATATAAGGGAAGACGTCTGGTAGCCGGCATATGTTACGATACTCACATGTTACAGTACTCACAAAAAATAGATATATTATATTTAATAAAATTTAATATAATATATGTTAAATATATATAATATAAATTATATTATATATATTATTAAATATATTATATATACTATATAATATATTATTAAATATATATAATATAATATAATTATAATATATATATATTATATAATATATTTAATAAAATTTAATAAAATAAAAATAAAATTAACGTATTTAATAAAAATTTAATATTAATGTAATTAAATGTATAAGGATTGACTAATTATTTATTAATTATTTAGCACAATTATTATTTATTATTTGTTTATTCGTTTTCTTTTAAATCTCTATGTGATATTTGATAATATCCGTGCAAAAGTGCCAAAAACAGATAGAGGGTGCAGACTCACTCTCTCTCTTTCTCTCTCTCGTTCTCTATTAGGCATCTCCCTCTACCATTCAAAATACGAAATGGATCCAATTAGGGACCAACAAAATGGATGATACTTAAACAAAACCGAATTAAATTCGTAGTAGAATACAAGAGAATTTAATTTGAAATTTAATTCGAAATTTTCTCCATCACAACGAGAAGGTTCAATCTCGCGGTTTTTGAAACGTTGCAGCTTTATATTCCTTTCTCCGGAATTTACCGAATTATTTATTCTGTTTTCTTTTTTTCCGAAAGATATTAATAAGCGAGAGAAGGTTTAATCCCGCAGTCCTTGAAACGCTGAAATTATATTCTTTCATTCTCTTCTCTTCGGTATTTACCGAATTGTTCATATTGTCTTTTGTTTTTTTTTTTTTCGAAGAGTATTAACACCCTTGCAATCGTTTCCGTAAGTTTTATGTCTTTGCTCAGCTAGAAGCTAGCAGTCGCGCGTACACGTGTACCTCTATTTGCACTGCCAGGAAGCAGAAGCTGCTCGCGTATCTTTATGTGTTTGCGTTGCGAAAGGCCGCTTCAAATGATGCGTTTACTCGACAAATAGTCGTCAGACCGACACGACTCTCGCGCGAATACGTGCGAATAATAACATGCGTCGACGCGCAGCGACGTTTTAATTTCAATTCTACACGACAATGCGGCGAAATTCATCATACAAATCGCGACACATTTACATTCGCCGAATGTTTGCCAAGTAGTCGCATTTGTACGGAGTCGTTTCAAGGGGCGGGCCGCTCGCGTTCGGCGCTGAAATGCGCATTTGCATTTCAGTTGTAATATATTTATGCCATATTTATGCAATTCCATATTTGCATAGGCGAACTCGGCAAATGGACCAGCCCCATCATTGATACGCTCCTATGTGAATGGCTGCGAATATACAAATGCGATTTCGTCGCTTTACATAAACGTATTAAGTTGCAAATTTAGTTTAGCTATGTTTTTTAAATGTGGAAAAGTATATTGCGGAAGCAATAGACTCGATATATCTCATCCGTTTCTATCCCTCAGGCCACAAACCGTCGCGACAATTATCCGAAAAATTGTCAGTTAAATAGTTTCACGTTGAATA